CCCTCCACACAGGATCCCATTGGGTGTACGCTGGAGCCAGCCCCACACGGGCCCATCGGAGACCAGGTGGGAAGTGGAGGATCTGTGGGGATCAGTGCCCAGGCTAATTCGCTGGGTGAGTTGGTGCCAATGATTGGCACGGATGCCCAAACAGGCGGGGACAAGGGGGCCCCTAGACAAGTGGCGTCCATGCAGGAGTTCGAGGCCACCCAGCTAATTCCTCACGTAAACAGCGACATGCAAAACGTGGAGTTGGCATGCAATGGTGGCATGAAGCCACATGAGGTCGCTGCTTTCGGAAAACTGAAGTGGTTCTGTAATGCCCTTGTCCGCAAGTTGGCACCCCCTCTCCTTCAGGAAGTGCAATCACCGCTGAGACCGGAAGCAGAACCATTCACGCCACGAGGTACTACACGAGGAGCCAAGCGCACGATGTCGTCGATTCCCGTGAAGGCTACACAGGCGAAGAACATGCTCATGCGGGCACTAGGTCTGGTCCGGAAGATTTAGAAGGAAATGAGGACTCAATTGCTGAGCTTGCGAACATCTTCGACACCCCTCTCCACGAGCAGCATATCAAAGTGATCGCCGCCCTGTTTGGGAAGGAGGTCCCTCCGGCTTGCGAATTGAGGGCCGGCAACATGGTGGTGGCAACCCCAGCTTGATGGTTGGGTTCGGTAGTGGGCGGTCCTCATCACTATATCCATGGATCCTAACCCACATGTGTTGTGTTGGAACGTGAGGGGCCTTAATAACCCTGCCAAGAAGCATGCAGTTAGGGAGTTTGTAGTGGCGGCCAAGGTTAGCCTTGTGTGTCTCCAAGAGACGAAACTAGATGTATTCGATCATTTCATCGTTATGCAATGCATTGGCCCATCGTTCGATGGGTTTGACTATGTGCCGGCTGAGGAGACTCGTGGGGGCATCCTACTTGCTTGGGATAGCACGGTGCTATCCGTGCATAACATCGTGCGCGACACCAACTCTATCACAGGGCTCGTTCATGACAAGGGAGGATCGACTTGGTGGGTCACGGCAGTGTACGGGCCGCAAGGAGAGGGCCCCAAAACTCAATTTCTATGCGATCTTCATGCTTTGCGTGCGGCCTGCCCTGGGCCGTGGATGGTTTTGGGAGACTTCAATATGATTCTTCTGGCGGAGGACAAGAGCAACAATAATATCAACAGACGAATCATGAGGAGATTTAAGGAGTTTGTGGACAATAATGAACTTAAGGAGGTTTACATGCACGGCCGGAGATTAACGTGGACAAATGAAAGGGATCAACCGGTGATGACAAAGATCGATCGTGTGTTGGTGATTGTGGTCTGGGAGCTTTCTCATCCGGATGTCCTCCTCCAGCTCTGTCCACTAACATTTCGGACCATGCCCCGCTCCACCTGTCTACTTCAGCTCCTTTTTGCCACAAGAGAAGATTCCGTTTCGAGATGTACTGGACCAAACTAGAGGGGTTTGATCAAGATGTTCGGGATGCATGGGTATGTGACGAGAACATAGTGGATCCTTTCAAGAGGATGGATGTGCTCTTGAGAAATACGGCTGTCGCGCTACAAGCCTGGGGACAGAGGAAGACTGGTAACATCAAGACACAGATCGCTATTGCCAACTATGTCATTCTCAAGTTCGACCGCGCCATGGAGATGCATGCTCTCACTCCCGCCGAGCTTTGGCTTCGCAAGACTATCAAACTGGCGCTCTTGGGGCTGTCCTCTTTGCAACGTACCATCGAGCGTCAACGCTCACGGCTACGATGGATTCGGGAAGGTGACGCGAACACTAAGCACTTTGAGGCCATGGCAAATGGGCGGAGATCAAAAAATTTCATCCCTCACATTAGGCACAACGAGGAGCTCATTACTGAGCAAGAGAGGAAGGGTGAAATCTTCGCCGAGGCTTACGAGCAGTTGCTGGGTCATGCAACGACCAGGGAGGCAGATCTAGACCTCAATTTCCTGGGTATGGAGACTCACGATCTTGGCGAGCTTGAGAACATTTTCACGGAGGAAGAAGTTTGGAACACCATCAAGGAACTGCCACCGGACCGGGCCCCTGGGCCGGATGGTTTCATTGCTGCTTTTTATCAGAGGGCATGGACGATCATAAAGAACGATGTTATGGCGATGATGATGAAGTTGTATGTGCAGGATGGGAGGGGTTTTGGAAGGCTCAACAAAGCACATATTATGCTCATCCCTAAGAAATCCGATGCGGAGCTGGTTGGGGATTTTCGTCCTATCAGCCTTACCCACAGCGCTGCTAAGCTTTTCGCCAAGATGCTGGCTAACCGTGCGAGGAGAAGAATGAAGGAAATTGTCTCGGCCAATCAGTCAGCGTTTATATGTGGCAGGCACCTGCATGACAACTTCCTCCTTGTGAGGCAAGTGGCCAGAAAGATCCATGCACGTAAAGAAGCTGGGGTGTTCCTGAAATTAGACATACCGAGGGCGTTTGACTCTATATCTTGGCCCTTCCTGTTTGAAGTTATGAGGCGCAAAGGTTTTGGTCAGAGATGGTTAGCATGGATCGCCATCCTTCTACGCACGGCCTCTACTAAAGTGCTCGTCAATGGCGTTCCTGGCAGGAGCTTTTTGCTCGCCCAAGGTCTGAGACAAGGCGACCCGGTGTCCCCTCTTTTGTTCATCATTGCGATGGATGCGCTCTCCTGCATCATGGTAAAGGGCGCAGAGGAAGGTGTTATGAAGCCATTTACAGGTATCAGGCCTCATCAAAGTGTGTCGATTTACGCAGACAACGTGGCTCTGTTTGTCAAACCAAACGAGGTCGATCTCAGGTTCGTGACCATGGCGCTTAAAGCTTTTGGAGATGCGTCTGGGCTGAGGGTTAACTATGGAAAGTCATCTGCTATTCACATCCACGGTGAAGAGGAAGATAGGATCAGGGTTTCTAACCTACTGCAGTGCGAGTTGGGGAAGTTTCCCTGCAAATACCTTGGATTGCAACTCGCCATACATCAGCTAAAGAAGACGGATTGGCAGCCCATGTTGGATAGAGCGAATAAGTGTGCTCCCGGTTGGCAACGAGGTTTGCTACAAAGATCCGGGCGCCTTGTGTTGGTCAAGTTGGTGGTCGCGGCGAAACCTATCCACCATTTCATGATCACTGATGCACCAGCATGGGTGTTCGAGGAGCTTGACAAATGGATGAGGACATTCTTCTGGGCGGGGAAGGATCAGGTCTCGGGTGGCAATTGCATGGTGGCTTGGAATGCGGTCTGCAAGCCGACATGCTTCGGAGGGCTCGGCATCAAGAACCTTAAGTTGCAGGGGCTCGCACTTAGGGTTCGATGGGAATGGTTGAAACGCACGGATCCGGAGAGACCTTGGCAGGGCATGCGCATGAGTGAGGATGAGGATGCCCGAGCTGTTTTTGACAGCATGGTTAAGATTGAGGTGGGCGAGGGCACTAAGGTTCTCTTCTGGCGGGACCGGTGGATTCATGGCTTTGCGGTGACTGATATTGCACCCATGATCCACGCTTTGGTTGACACTCGTACAAGGATCAAACGTACGGTCGGTGAAGGGTTGGAGAATGGCCGGTGGCTACATGATATTAATGGGGAGCTGAATTTTGTTGGCCATTTGCAGCTGGTGCACCTGAATCTGGCCATTAACACAGTGCAAAGGGATCCGAGCAATCCGGACTGTTTTTCTTGGCCTGCTGACCCTTCTGGATTATACTCTGCCAAGTCAACCTATCAAAAACTCTGCCTCGGTGATGAAAGGGCTCCGTATGCCTCCTGCATCTGGAAAAGTTGGGCACTTTTGAAGTGTAAAATCTTCATCTGGCTGGCTGTGCAGCACCGTATTTGGACCTCTGACCGAAGGGCAAAGCATGGATTACAAGACCGACCGTCTGCATGCTACACATGCTTGCAAGATGAAGACAATGCCGAACACATCTTGGTACAATGTGGCTATGCTCGATTGGTGTGGCACACCTGCTTTCAAGACCTAGCCCTAAATACGCGGGCTTCGGTGGTGGATGATACCTTCCTCGATTGGTGGATCGAGACTAGGACGGGGATGCCTAAGGGTCTTAAGAAAGGCTACGACACGTTCGTCATCGTGGTCGGATGGGAGTTGTCGAAGCAACGGAACGCGCGTGTGTTCAATAGGCTACAGCAACAGCGAACCCCAAGAGAATTGGTTGACGAGATATTCAGAGCAGTAAAGCAATGGAGACAAGCCGGTGTAGGAGTTGGAGGTTTAACACATTTTGTGAGAGAGTAGCTCTAGAGAGTAGTGTAGTTTGGGTGTAATGGGTGTTGGCCGAGCTTAGATCCTAACATCTAGCTCGTGCCTCTCTTGTAAATTCTTTCTGTCTTCTATAAAGATAAGGTACGTCATTGGCATACTCTCTAAAAAAAAAGTATATTGCATCAGAGTTGCTCTAAACCAATGCTAATTTATGCTGGCAGTAGCAGCGTAGCGAGATAGGAAGATAGTACGGAGCCTCACTCTGAGAAGCCCTATAAAAAGCAGGGCCTGTACGTACGTTTATGGGCCCCTGATATATGCAGCTACGACCGTTGGGGCACCGAGCCAGCAAAAGGTGCAAATCTATCTAGCTGTGCACGGGGTCTCCAATGAACACATCTCAGTGATGATTAGCAAAGTAGGACATGTACCATTCGCTGTAATCATCATGCGACATGCATCCACCCATCATGGAAAGATATCTCGGAGTATATGCAAACGTCGGCTCACAAAAAGAAAAGAAAGAGAAAGAATCATCACGCAAGAAGAGGAAACAAGACGGGAGGAAAGGAAAGAAATCGGGGAGTGATCCATTTCATTTCAGCTTCAACTTTCATGCAGCCGCAGCCGGGTCGTTGGTCAAGCACAGCATCTTGCGTGCCCTCAAAAAGAAGTACCACAGCATCTTCTTTGTTACTTAAAAGGGGAGAAGGAAGGAAAGAAAGTCCCTAGAGAGCGAGCGAGCTATGGCTATGGCTATGGCTAGTAGTACTGGAACAGGCTTGTCATCTCCCGGACGGACCCGAACGCCGGCGACGAGGGCATGACGCCGAGCCCCCATGGCAGGCACGGCCCGTCCTCCGCCGCCGCGTCGCCGAACAGCCCGTAGGACGCCGCCTTCGCCACGGCCGGGCCGTAGCACCCCCACTGCTGCTGCTGCTGCTGCTGCTGCTGGTGGTGCCGCGCGTACCCGTACGCGTACTCGATGCCGCTGTCCGATGCAAGCGCCGTCGGCGCCACCGCGGCCGCCGCCGCGCGCCTCTCCTCCTTCTTGTACCGGATTCCGCACGCATTGCACAATGACTGCACAGATGATGCAACAATGATCAGTTAGCATGGATATCCATGTATGTCCGTAAGGCAGTGTCGCTGAGTACGTGGCCATGTACGTAGTATATGATCATCAGTTTACGCGCGCACGCACCTTTGGTCCGCGTGGCCCGTTCCTCCAGAGCGGGGTCGAGGTGGTGTCGCAGTTGGCGCACCGGCGAGCGGACGCGGCGCCGGCATTGCTCTGATCAGCGCGCGCCGGGCCGATATCCTGCCTGCCGTTGCAGCTGGGCACTGCCTCCCACGGCAGCCCGGCCGCCGGCGCGCGGACCCCGGCCTCGGCGCGCCTGGTGGAGGGCGTGCCGAGCGAGAGCGTGCAGTCGACGGAGCCGCCGTAGGAGGCGTAGGAGCCGTCGTCGCCGCATTGCTTGATGTAGTAGTGGTGGTCCCCCGGCGCCGCGGCGAACAGCATGGAGCAGCCGCCGCCGCAGCTGCCGTAGAGCAGCCCGCACGTGCATGGCGCCGCCTCGTGCAGCATCTTGACTAGCAGTAGGAGCTACTTGCAGGAATAGATCGAGCAGAGAAGGCGATGTCTACTCTAGTGCTACTAGCTGCTGGTATCGGGGGGAGATTAATATGAAGAGGGAGAGCTTCGAGACCGGGGTCGAAACCAAACCAAACCAAAGAGGACGTAGCTAGGGGGTGTCTGTTGCTGGACTCTGGAGGTGGCCGGCCACTTAAGAGTTAACAGACACTAGCTGGATCGTTGAGGTGTTTGGCGCATGTGGATGGATGTGGGAGGTAGGGTACGGGATCCTGGGGTTCTTATAGCGACGACGTGGGAGTACGGTGGTGGTGGCCGGCTGGGGCTGGGGCTGGGGCTGGGTTGGCTCGCTTTTTACGTGGTAACCTGGGCCGACCCGATTTTGGATTCCGGCCGGGGGCGCGAGACGCGATGCCGGCGCAGCGAGGGGATGTCCGTCCGGATGTCCCTCTCATGCGCCTGTGGTCTGGGGCCGGTGCGTGGTCAAAGAAGGATGTGGCGCTCGGTCAAAAGGAAGGCCACGTGAAACCGGGAACAGTCCCCCATGCACACACACACACACACATATGGGGACGTGGAGGGGCTCTCGAGGAGGGATGTCGTACGTAGTGCTAGTGCTACTGACATGCGCTCGTACAACTACGACGAGTCCATTGGAGTTTGGCGATCACGAGGGGCACAGTTCGATCTGTCCCTCCTCCGTCCTCCTCTGAGCCGGTTGTGGGATCCCAGGCCAGGCTATCCACCACGGAGTAAGTGAGCGAGCAACAAGGAGACGATGCATGGCATGGCATGGCATGCATGCATGCGTCCGTTAGGCGGGCAGGCAGCGTCGCAGCGATGCCTGAAAGCCTGCGGTGCGCTGCATCAGGCCGGCCGGTCGGGTCGGGTCGGGTCAGTCTTTAATTTCCATCCACGGGGGTGGGGTGTCATTTTGCAATGACACGACGGATCGAAATTTCTGGCCCTGCATGCAGATGCAGCACACCATGTACGCCACCACCACCTTTGACTGTGCGCAGTGTATCTGGACCGATGCATGCATGTTACGTTACATCTACATCTACAATACGTACAGCTTTTTTTTTGAGGGACAATACTTACAGCTAGGCAAAACTGAAGATGAACTTGGTGGTGGAGCTAGTAATAAAGCGGCAGGGTTGTGCTCCATGAAGATCACGCTTGGGCACATGATTAGGTCAAGAAGGAGCCGCTAGGGGCTTCCAAACCCAGAGAAAGAAGGAAACTAAAGAGCAAAGGAGGCGTAGCGAAAGAAGGGCGGATGGGAATGGGAAAATAAAAGAGCAAGGAAATGAATCAAAAGAAGCAAAAGAGCAAAAGAGGAGCGACGCGAGGATGAGGAGGGAACACAGGAAAAGACGGGCGGGCGGGCGCGGGCCGCGCGAGTTAGGGGCTGTTTGGTTCCCAGCCACAATTTGCCAAGCCAAAATTTGGCAGCCACAATTTATCAAGCATGTGTTTGGTTTTTGCCACACTTTGGCTTGCCACACTTTATTGCCTCTATGGCCCACTTGTCAAAGAGACAATTTTTTTGCCAACTTTTGCCAAAGTTTGGCGTCCAATTTCTTAGCCACACTTGTGTGGCTTGCCATACTTGTGTGGCTAGCCACACTTTGGTTTGGCCACACTAGTCTCCAACCAAACAGACCCTTAGTAGTGGATACAGAGAGAGAACAAGAGATATAATTGGCGGAAACAATCCATGATGGCTCCCCAAGTTCCATAAAGTCCCCCGTCGAATCGAATCCGATCATCGGTCCAAGGAACAGTCGCGGTCAGGCATAGAAGATCCCGCCTTTTGGCACCAACCTCCACGCACGCAAACCTAGGATACATCACTCGACTCGCTCCTGCCTCCTGCCCTGCCTCTCTCTACTCCACGCTACGCTACGGGATCCGATACGCCTCTAGCCTGATCATTCCCTCTTCGACCTCCTGCTAGCTAGCGCTCCTACTCCCACATACAGAAAGAGTACTTACTTAACCAGTGACAGTGAGGCTTTTCTTTTGCTGTGGTTTGTTTTTCTTTTCCTTTATTGGTGCTGTAAGCGAGCTGCCTAATTCCCCTGCCAAGTCAAAAGGAAGCAGGCAGCGATGCCAGAGAAAGGGAAAGCCCGTGGAGCCCATCATCTGCCCAACGGCCCAAGTGCGAGCCGACACGACCTTACCCAAACCGGGCCTAAAACATGTTTGGTCTTGCTTGTGTGGAGTATAGTACTCCTTCCGTCCAGAAATACTTATCGACCAAATGAATGTATCTAGATGTGCTTTAGTTCTAGATACATTCATATTTAACCATTCTAAACAAGCGGGGCCGGTCTTGGAAACTGAAACCAGGGCGATCCCCTTCAAAACACCAGCAACACAAGCACAATGCACTCCTCCAGCTCCAGGAGCGAGCTCCGTGAGTTGCTCTGTGCCTAGGGTGGTTGCAGTAGTAGCTGTTGTTTATATTAGCAGCCTAATGCCTAGTTTTTGGCAGGGATTGTACGCCTTGTGCTTCGTGTGGAGATCTGTTTGCTCGCTGCATATGCGGACTGCCGTCGAGGAGGGCCTAAAATAAGACGGCAGAACAAACAAGGGGAGGAGCACGAGCGCGAAGCAGGATATGCGAGTATTGTACTACTGCGGCGTTGCGAGCAAAGAGCTCTCCTGTGTGTGGGTGTGTTTGGTGCAACGTCTTGGGCAGGCAATCCGCCCGAGGAGATCGTCGTTCAAAAAGTTGTCCCGACACTGCCAGAGTTAAGCCTAGAGATTGGTGTCCTTTGGTTGGGATATCTATCTCAAGCCCTCGTCCCTTCTCTTTGCCCTTTGATTACAGGGGGATGGGGACGGCATCTCTTGGAAAGCGATAGCTGGTGCCCCCGAGTTGTTCTCGTCTCTCGAGGTTTGAACCATTTTAATTCTTCTGCTAAATAACCATAAATAAAATATGCTCGACCACGTAGTGATCAGATAGCTTTAGGGTGGGTTGATTTAATTCGAACACTATCACGTTTCTCTGAGGGCACCTTGATTCAAAAGGATTTCGTAGAATTTTTTGTGGATTACAATTCTTAGGGCATTTTTGAAGCGGATCCTCAAACCTTCCGCGAGAGTGTGACGTCCCGAGGCCGACGCGTCAGGTGTCTTTCAGTTATTCGTTGTTGTTGCCTTGTCATTCGCTTGCGTATTACATCTTGTTATGTCATCATATGCATTGCATCACCATGTTTTTGAAACTTGCATCCGTTCCAGCCTCCCCGTTCTCTCCGTTATCCGTTCTGATTCCAGACACACTTGCACGCGCCCGCGGCACGTCCGAAATATTATTTTATTAGTGACCGGAAAATGTTCTCGGAATGGATTGAAAGTTGGCGTGCGGTCCTATTTTAGTGTAGGTAGGCCGCCTGCCAAGTTTCATCGCATTCAGAATCCGTTTGACGCCCCAACGGATAACTATAGCGGCAATATAGCCGGTCAAACGTCGGCCCTTTTCGGTCTACGGAAACGGTTGCCGGGCTGCCTTCTTCCTCTCCTCTCAGCCCAAGCCCCTCTACACAGGCCATCACCTACCGCTAGGCCCAATCTAATCTCTCTCGTCAGCCCGCGGCCCTCCCCGCGCGCGCGTCCGAAAGCTGTTCCGGTCCCGTACCGCTCAGTCATCACCGTTGCGATCAGATCATCCCCAAACATCTGCAAAATGTCACCGCAATCGTCCATTTACGATCGGAGGAATCCGTTAGCCCCTAACCTATTTCACCGCTATATATAATGGGCAACCCTAGAAATTAGGGATCCTGTCCCATCCTTCCATCCATCCAATCCCTCACCCGCCGCCGTCACTCTCTCCCTTGGGATCCTCCCAGATCCCCTCCTCATCTCCTCCCGCACGCAACGACCGATCCACCTCGTCTTCAGCGCCGGGCCAACCAGCGCCCGAGCCCGAGCTCCACTCGATCCCTCTCCTTCCCGGCAACATGGACATGCCGCCGCCTGTAGCTTCCTCCACCCTGACCTCGACCTGGACCGCTCCAGCGACCACGCCCGTTGACGCTGTCGCTCCGCGAGTCGCTGGTCCTCGCCGGATTTCGCTGCCAGGTCCATGCCGCCCTTGCCTCCACTCCGTCAGCACGCGTCACCGGAGCCCCGATTTGCTACAGCCCCGAGCGCCTCACCTTTGCACCCGCCCTGATGGCCTCCTCTAGCCCGGTATCTTCTCCCATGGATCCCTCCTTCTCCCCGCGTCGAGCATCAGCGCTCCAGCGTCGGCCTTCTGCTGTTCATCCTCGTCGGCTCTCGCAACACCGGCGCTGCTGGCAGCCGCGCCGCTCGATCCACCTCACCGACGACAGCACTAGCAGGTCCCGCCGACCTTCCCCTGCTCCTTTTCCCTCTCCATCTCCCTTCTCTTCTCATGTATCCCCTTCAATCCTCTCGTGTTCCTCCGCAGGTACCCGCCATGGATGCAGGAGCACGAGCTCCCTCCTCCTCATTGCACGCATCGCCCCCGGAGCTTCTTCGCCCGCCGCCCGCACCTACAAGGACCCCGCCGCCAGCGACCAAGACCAGCACCCAGGCCATCCCTCTCCTTCCTCCCGCACATCTTCGCTTCCCTGATGCCCTTTCTCATATCTATCTCTCTTTCCCTGTACTTGCCGCAGCTGGGAACCGTCGTCGCCCCGTTCTTCTGGAAGCCGTGGTCGTGCTGCTGCAGCAGTGCCGCCATGGATGCTCGAACCTCCTTCTGCTTCCCGCGTGGGATGACCCCAGCGCCAAGTCACGTCTTCGCTGCCTCCTTCATTGTGTCGCCACGAGCCACTTCTTCTATGAGGACGACACGTCCGCCTGGGTTCCTCTCGCGCCAAGTCCGCCACTGCAGTCCCTGCCGCTCGCTTCCTCTCCTTCGAACGAGAAGACCAGCATCGCGCCCTTCTTCCTCTGAATCGAAGACGAGCGCGCTGCCCTCGTGCGTTGACCGCGCCCAGGCCCAG